AGGACTTGAGGAGGCAGGAGCTTAGGAACTCACCTTCACCTGGAAGTAAGCATCCTGGGCACAGTAGCGGATATCACAGGCGGTGATGAGATCCACACCTGGGAGGTGGAGGCCAGGGACACTGAACAACCACAGGAACCAGCCCCTCCTCCCAAGACATGGGGTTGCATCTTGAGACAAAGTCTAACTGGCAACAAAGCTGAGTCTGGAGGTCACTAGCTGAGGTGGAAGGGCAGCGGCCCAGCTAGGGGGAGTGGCCTGGGTGGGGGGTGGGTGGCTGCAGACTCACCTCCACCAATGCAGCCCCCATGGATAGCGGCAATCACAGGCTTGGGGCACTGAAGGAACACAGGAGAGGTACAGTCAGGGCTGGCCCAGGGGAAATGGGCAGAGGGGATGCCCTTCAGCCTTCCAGAGTCACCTTCTCAATGACGCTGAAGGTCTCCTGGTATCTGGTGATGAGCTTACAAAGTTTCCAGCTGATGCGGGCTGCGTCATCTCCTTGGGGCTGCAGGAGGTTTGAAACCACGTCCAGGAAGTCGATACCTGGCGAGGAGGCATGAGGGGGCTCACTTGGCTTCCCAGGCCCCACCCATTGCCTGGGGTCAGAACTCAGGTGCAGTAGCTTCAAACCTTCAAGCCACCACAGTGGAGGAAGCAACACTCACGCAGGACTTAGTGAGGGGCCGCATGTAAGGCGTAAAATAAATGAAAGCTACCATTCACTGAGTCATTCCTCACTTAACCCTCCCAACAACCCTGGGAGGTAGGTCCTATTTCCATTTTACCGATGGATAAACCGAGGCACAGAGCAGCTAAGCACTTGCCCAAGGTCACAGTGGCTTGTAAGTGGTGGAACTGGGATTTTTGACCCCGGAACCATGCAGAGGGCTTCAGGGGCTGGGCGCTTCCGCATTACACCAGGTGGCCTACGAGTCAGGGTTTGTGGCTTCAGCAATGGAATGTTTCCTGGGATGGGCCAATTTTTGTGGCTCCCACTTCAAGATAATCCCGAATATGACCTTGCCTCCATTAGCCAATCTCCATAATCCCCATGGTGTCCCCCCTGCTCCCAGCCCCATCCCCACAGTCTGTTCCCCACATGTAGCCAGAGGGAGCCTGTGAACACGAGTCAGGTCAGGGCCCTGGCTTCTTCCCTCCCTCTTCACCTAATTAGAATCAGATTCAAAGTCCTTTCCGTGACCTTCCCAGCCCTGCACGACCATCATGTCTGACCTATGGACACACCAACTTCCAACAGCACCAACAACACACACATTCCCTCCCAGGGCCTTTGTGCCTGCTGCTTCCTCTGCCTACAACCGTCCCTCCCCATTTGATGGCCACAACACTGATGCCATTGCTTTGTTCATGCCACAGCTCAAAGGTCACCTCCCCAGAGAGGCCTGCCCCAGCCACCCTAGCCGAACAGCGTCCACCACCCTCTGCTCCTGACTCTGCCTCGTCTCCTACGCTGTCTGTCTTGCCATCACAGAACTTCGTGTGGAACTGGTTGATGGCCTGTCTTCCTTTCTAGGGTGCGAGCCCCATGAACACAGGAGTTTGGGTCTTTTTGCCCACCGCTGTATCCCCAGTGCTTGGAACAGGGCCTGGCACACAGTAGCTGCTCAGCAAGTGAACAATACAGACAACATCCCTGCCCTCATGGGGAGACAAGTAAATAAGAAAACGTATTTTGTCAGGTGGTGGTGAGTGCTCAAAATCAAAGGAGGGAAGTGGCAGGGAGGGTGTGCGTGTGAGTGTGCGTGTGCTGCGAGGGCTGCCGCAGTGGTAAATCACCCTCTCACTGAGGTGACATTTGAGTCAAGACCTGAAGGAGAAGAGAGAGGGAGCCATAGGGACATCTGGGGTAAGAGGGTTCCAAATGTTAGGAACAGCCAGTGCAAAGGCCCTGTGGAAGGAGTGCGCCTGATGGGTGAGAGCACCGTGGGGGAGGCCGCAGAGGGAGCCAGAGGGAGAGCAGGAAGAGCCCAGGCTGGAGGGGTGATGGGGCAGACTGTGCGGGGCCTCCTGGGCCACGGGGAGGGCTCCGACTTTTACTGAGTGAGATGGAGCCACGGGAGAGTTCTGAGCACAATCATCCTTCCCTTTCTTCCTCCGAGGGTTGATCATTCTCGTCCTTTTGCCTATCCCCTGATCGATGCCTTTTGACACACCTGAAAAATCGTTCCCCCATTTGGCTACATCCTTGACTCTCTGAGGCTTCGCTGTTTAAATAAGTGAGACCGGAGGAGTGTTGGCTCAAGATAGAGCTGATCTGTGCAAGTTAAGTATGTGTAAGACAGGACTCCCCTCTGTGACATTACCAGGTCACCTCATCCTCTGGGCCTGGGGTTTCTTCTCTGTAAACTGATGAAAAGCCCTCCCAAAAGCTGATGGGGCTGCAAGGATTCAAGGAGATGGAGCCCCACAGGCACTTTGAGAGGTGCCTGCTATGAAATGGCATCGCAACAGTTGCTATTAATATATACTCCATTTCAGGGGAGGCCAGCACCACCTGGATCAGCCCGCTGACAACGTCTGAGAAGCTCCTGTGACTCAACAGGAGCTCTGCTTACTCCCAGAACAAGCCCAGCTTGGCATCTTGCAACACCTCCCTTCACTGGCTTTTCTGGTTTACCTGCCCTACCTGGACCTGCAGACAATGGCGTTTGCAACCTCTGCAAATAAAGGGCCCCAGACCATAGAACAAGGTGTCCCCTCAAAAGTAAGAACTAATCATTGCAGAGAAGTTCCCTTTTTCCCCCTGTAAACCTCTGACTGTTCTAAATATCGTTCGTAATCATAATACTGTTATTCATAATCATAAATAACAGCTGCATCAATAAGTGTTTTACATATTAACTCATCTAATCTTCATAGCAACCTGATGAGGTAGTGCTAACCTTATTTCCATTTTCTCCAGATGAGTAAACGGCAGCAGAGAGAGTGAAGGGACAGCAAGGTGGCGGAGGTGGGAGGTGCGTGGGGCCTGAGACCAGAGCCTTTGCTTTAACCAGCGTGCCAGCTACCTGGGTTATAGTCGTTTAGCACTTAAGAGCAAGAACTCTGTAGCACAGCCTGAGTTCAAAACTCCCAGCTCTGTCACTAACCAGCTGTGAGAACTGGGCAAGTTTCTTCCTCTCTCTGGGTCTGTTTCCTCACATTTAAAATGGAGATCATAATAGAACCTGTCTTGTGAGGCTGTGATTAGAATTCATTAATAAGGGGCCGGCCCGGTGGCGCACTGCTACAGTGCACCGCTTGGGAGCGCAGCGGTGCTCCCGCCGAGGGTTCGGATCCCACATACAGACTGGCCGCTCACTGGCTGAGCGAGACGCGGGAGCAACGCCGAGGGTTGCGATCCCGTTGCTGGTCACGAAAAAAGACAAAAAAAGGAGAAAAAAAAAAAAAAAGAATTCATTAATATGTGTTAAAGTGCTTCATATAAGGCCTGGCACTCCATGAGTGCTGAATAAAGTGTGACTTTTTGTTTTGTTTTTTAAATTAGTAGTTCCACTGTATCATTGGGTCACTGTGTGACCCTGAGTTTCTTCTTTCTGGACTTCAGAGTCTTGCTGCTGAAAACAGGACGAAACAGGCACAACTGGCTGGGAGCTGACAGATGAGGCACAGCACAGATGAACCCTCATCTTTCCTCAGACACCAGCTCTGTCAGGTCCTATCAGGAACAGGGCCCCCCTGTTTCCATGGCACCCAGGAGGGGCTCTGGCACTGGACTGGCCTCATTGAATATTCATTGAATGAATAAATGAATGAAAGGAGAAACAGTGAGGTGTAGAAAGAAAACAAGGGGCATGCGAGGATGTTAACAGAGGAAACAAAGAAACAGATTGTTTGCTGTCTTCCCCACTGAGGTGGAACTCCATGAAGGCAGGGCCTGGGACTGTCTCAGTCACCCCCAGGTCCCCAGCACTGGGCTGGCCCTGGGCAGAAATCAGTGTAGGTGACATTTCACTTCTGGTACGGTCCTAAAGGACCGACCCTCCCACAGATGACGACCACAGACTCTGGCTGAACAAGGTAGAAACAACTGATTCTGAAGGGAGTTACCACTTAGAAGAAGGAACTGGCACAAAGTTACCTATTTTTAAAGCTTTTAGCCAGAGGGCAGGCTGAAGTTCTACTTTAAGAACCATAAGACAGTCCAGGGTGGCCATAGCTATTGGAAAGTGAGGGGGGAAATTCCAGAAAGAGGAAATCCAGAGAGGGGAGCCCCCACGCATGCAGCCCAGCACAAGATTTAAAAACTAATTCCATCTAAGCTGCTTAAACAGGAAATTCAACACTCTTTGGAGTTATATAATAGAATCCAGAGTTTCCACAACATCTTATTCCTATATCTCAATATCCAGGATACAATCCAAACTTACCTAAAATACAAAGAAACAGGAAAGTGAGAGCCATTTTTGAGTTAAAACATAATAAACAGAGACTGACTTCAAGATAACCCAGATGTCAGAATTAGGAGACAAGAATTCTATTTATTCATTTATTTATTTACTGGTGGCTGGCCTGTACAGGGATCCAAACCCTTGATCTTGGTGTTACAACACAGAGCTCTAACCAACTGGGCTAACCAGCTAGAGGAGGAGACAAGGATTTTAAAGCAGCCATTTTATAATGGCTATGCTCAGTGGCACATATGCTCATTACAAATAAAAAGATATGATACATCAGCAGAGAAATGGGAAATATAAAAATAAAACCAAATGGAAATTTGAGAACCCAAAACTACGATATCTAAAATTAAAAATCACTGGATGGCTTGGTAGAGCATGGTGCTGATAATACCAACATCAAGGGTTTGGTTCTCTGTACAGAGAAGCCACCAAAATTTTTTTTTTTTAAAAACCAGTGGATGAGGGCCGGCCCGTGGCTCACTCGGGAGAGTGTGGTGCTGATAACACCAAGGCCAACAGTTCAGATCCCTATATAGGGATGGCCGGTTCGCTCACTGGCTGAGCGTGGTGCTGACAACACCAAGTCAAGGGTTAAGATCCCCTTACCAGGCATCTTTAAAAAAAAAAAATCAGTGGATGGGCTCAAAAGCAGAATAGAGATGGCAGAATAGTCAGTAACTCTGATCAATGGAAATGACCCAATGTGAAAAACAGATCTGTGGGACAATCAAAAGATCTAACAAACACATAGTGGGAAATCAGTTCATGTGTGTTGAGTTAGTACATGAAAGCATGTTATTATTATAACACACTTGCTGACACAGCAATAGACTCTGAGAGGTTAAATGCTTTGTTCAAGGTCACAGATCCAGGATGGAAGCCCAGACTTCAGAGCCCATGATACTGTAATATTCTATTGGACTAATTTCTATATTTGAATGTTCTAAATTAGGCCTTTAAAAATGATAAAAGTGGAAGTTAGAAGCTGCTTAAAACCCTAATTGAGAAGCAGTGCCTATTGCGGGGAGCAGGGAAGCCTGGAGGGGGTGGGTGTGAAGAGCGCCTAGTACCTGCAGTGAACATTTTTCCTGCACCAGAGATCACCACGGCCCGGCAGTCGGTGTCTTGAGCGATCTTGTTAAAGCACTCCACCATCTCGCTGTGGGGGAGCAAGGAGTGAAGGGCTATATCTGGGGTGGAAAACCTCTGCTATCATGGCTATCTGTCCCCCATGCTCCACCCCTGTCTAGCCCTGCAGTGCCCTCCTCCTCCTGCATGCAGTTCTCCAGGATCTGTAGGCCATACCTCCAGAAGGCCTTGTTCATGGCATTCCTCTTGTCAGGCCGGTTTAGCTGCACATGCAAAACGTGTTTCTGGACAGGTATCACCAGAAGGGACTCATAGTTGTGATCTAGGGCTGCTGTGGTGGCCTCATCTGGTGCAGAGGAGCCCATGGGGCGAAGGCTAAGGTGGAGACCCGGGTGGGTGGGGGTCATCAGTCCTGGGGAGAAAAAGGAAGGAAGAGACTTTGATGACTCCAGAATGGGGACACAGCACCTCCAAGAGCAGAGTCACTTTAGTGACTCTAGATTGGGGAACAATGGCCCTTAGGAATCTGAGTTTGTTAGGATACAGACTTTAAGATACGGGTGCACTTATCAGTGGCTTCAGGTGGAGCACTACTTCAGACCCTGACATGGGGCTGACCCAAGACTGGGGACACTGGGCCCTCAGTGAGCCCAGATTGTGAAGGCACAGGCCTATAGAATTTGAGAGCACATGGATCCCTGAGTTTAGCGGGCTCAGAATGTCCATGACCCGATAGCCTTCCCCGTTTTACAGCCGCTATGAGAGCACGACAGAGCGACAGACCCCAACAGGTTAAGAGGTGACTCACGCCGCGTCAGCAGATCGCGAAATCTGCGAGAAACCGCCGCAGCCATTGGGACTGAGCCGTGGGAGTGACACGACAGGAGGAAGCCCAAGGGGAGGAAACGGAAGGTCGCCATATTGGGCGAGGGCATCGAAGCTGCAGCCTGACCAATAATGACGCTCTCCTTCCCGCCATCTTTACTAAGGGCAACCGGAAGACGCGTCATCGGTTCGCCTGCGCAGTTATAGGAAGGCTTAGACATGGACCCTTTGCCCAAGTAGCAACCTGAAGCTGCTGCTGTAAGTTTCTATATAAAGTTCATCACAGCGCCATTTCAAAATGGTGGAAAAATTGGATAGCGGAAATGTCCAAGGACATAATGGCAGCGGAGTAACTGCAGCCCTGCAAGTTTGTAATCATGCATATATATCACGTTAACGAAAAAGAAAAAAATTATTCAGTACCGTTTAGCCACGTAAGGCAAAGAGAATACAGACAGGCCAATATTCAGCGCTGACTGTACATTTGGATTCCCACGCCACCACAAGGTCGTACTATTTCCTTCTGCACACACAGGCTCGGGGATGGGAAGTCACTAGTTAAGGTAGCTGGGCTTGAGGAGTACTGAAGTAGGATTAGGCGGCTCCAAAGTCCATGTTCTCAAATAAAACCCTTTGGGAAAAGCTAGTTAACTAAGAGCATAAAAAAGTACTGTAAAACTGCTTAAGTATGCTCCTTAGGGAGATGTGCCAAGGTGGTGAACAGATGTCCGGGCCAATGGGATTGTAGGGAATCTCTTTTCTGCTTAATGAATATGTCTTATTTGGTCAGACTAGATAGGCAAGCTCTTTTGCAAGATAAAATCAGCAACCATCCATTAACAGAGAACCTTAAAACTCCTATGCAGATACCAAGATGTGAGAAAAAATGTTAAGATGTAGAACATTTAGTATGATCCTTTGGTGTAAAACAGATAGTTGTACATGTCTGTGTATGTGCTGAATACGATATATGTATATCGCCGTAAAGAGATATACATATACCACTAGAAGTTTCAAACTGCTAACAGAATGAAACTGGATGCTAGGAGACGGATTAGAAAAATTCACTTTATATCTCCTTGATGGGCTTAAAAACAACAAACCCTAGTTGATTTAATTATGGCTACAAGGTGACTGTAGTTTCTCCTTGTCCAGAGGTTCTTTTGCTACCCCTGGTGAAGCAGTTTGTTCATTTGATAAATGATGCCACATGACTTCAGTAGATGTTATATTGTTAACACAATATGAGTTTAAAAACTTCACAGTACACTCCCAAAGTGGGTTGTCAAGCACACACTCCAAGGCACAGTACTTGTGATCTGCTCCTGCAGGTGACCTCCTGCCTACAGCATGAATCAAGGTCATTAAAACCAGGCTCCTTCTCAGTTGTACCCCCACTGCAAGCCATCTTCACAGGTTCACAGCTACAAGTGGGGAGTGTCTCTCCTATGTTGCAATTATATATATCCTTTAACCCAGCAATTCCACTGCTAGGAATTTACCTCCAGATTAATATCAAGGAAATTGGCTCAGATATTTGTATATTACCAGCCAGCTGCCGAGGGGGAAAAAAAAAGACATTTGTATAAGGACATGCATTGTAGTAGTTTACTGTAGAAAAGACGTGGAAATTATCTTTGAGACCAGGTTAAGTAAATTATGACACATCCACACAAGGACACTCTGCAGGGGTAAAGATAAGATTTTTCTGTATGATACTGAAACAGAGTAAAGCTAGGACTGTGAACCAAACTGACTCCATCTTCCCTGCAAAAGATACTTTTACCTTTCCACTCCTCAGTCATGAGAACCCCAGGGCAAATGATTACCCCATGACCCAACCAGATAAAAATAGACTAAGAGAGGGCCGGCCAGGTGGTGCACTGTTACAGTGCTCCCGCCGAGGGTTCGGATCCCACATGCAGACCGGTTCCCGCTCACTGGCTGAGCGAGGTGTGGGCGCAACACCGAGGGTTGCGATCCCGTTGCCAGTCCCGGTCCGGTACGGGCGCGACACTGAGGGTTGCGATCCGTTGCCGGACACGAAAAAAGACAAAAAAAAAAAAAATAGACTAAGAGAGAAAACAGGTATTTACTGAGTTGCAAAACCCCTCCCCAAGGCTTATTTACCGTAATTGCAAAAATTAAGTTGCAGATTAACCTTAAGACCCCTTTAGTAACTCCCAAATGTGCACAAAGATTCAAGGTGACCATTATAATGACCTTTCTGGGGTGACAGTGAAGACCACCACTGCCATCTTGGACCTACTGAGCAGCCTCAAGGACCAGAGCCCTAAACGAACATGCACTCATGATGCAACCAGGAAGAACAGAATGAACCACAACCCCAGTGAGGCTTAACTCTTTTCCCTATAAAAGACACGGGACAGCTCCCCCAGGGGGCTGGCTTTACTGTAGCTACGTTGTCTATCTCTTTTAATAAAGTGTTGCTTGCTTTACTGCTGGGTACATTGTTCATTTCTACGACTTTGGAATCCAAGAGCTTAATTTAGTCACTGGCAAAAATTAGAAAGCTTTGGGCACTAGAGAAGACTCTAGCTACAAGAGGCAAGTGGCCACTGGGACTATTTTGCTCCCATGTCTCTGCTGCTGGTAAGTCTCTTCTGGAGTCCCCAGCCTAAATTCTGAGGTGTTGGGCTAGGTCACAGACCCCTCATACAAAGGTCGTGAGCTAGGTAATTGGAAAAGATCCTGGGAGCCACTGACAAGGTTGACATGCTTTATTCAGATGCAAACTCAGCACTCAGGCAGATGCAGCAGCAGCAGCGGTGGCCCCCTGATGGCCTCCCGGGGGTATCCGGGGGACACTGTGGATCAGAGCCTTTTGTCCTTCATACTTGTCAGATAACCAGGAACACCTGAGTGTACATGCGCAGTTAATGTACTTAACAACAGAAATGATAAGTCACGCACAAGATTCTGAACAGCTGAAGGAGCCCGGCCATTTTTCCATTTTCCTTACACAAACCAATGCTTTATTCTCTTCTACTCTTTTTTACTTTTCTTCCTCTTTAAAGTGACTGCGGACAACCACAGCTTAAACTTCTCTCAACCTGTGGAAGCATGCTTACCTGGCTGGCAACAGCTTGCCCTGACAGGTAACTAGCAAAGGTGAGGCCAGTCCTACATCATGAAGACCTTGCTTGAGCAGGTTCCCCCCGACAGGATTCATGAATGGTGAGGATTCATTCCTACACCAGTGACTGGAAGTCCCGAAACCACTAAAATTCTCTTTACCTTTCTCTGATTTTCTGAGCCCTCTTCTGCTGTTTGGTTGGATTGTATCTGCTATGATATAGGTGCACCCTGGAGGGCTCCCAGCTATGCTTTGCTTCTCTCACTTAAATGTAGTCGGTACTTTTCTTTCTGCCAACAGTGCTTTGATCAATTACTGTGTCAGTGGAATAGGTTGGCCCCACCGATTGGGAGTAAGATAAACTGGACCCTACTGCTCCTATTTTGTTTGTTTGCTTGGTTAGACATTTAGTTGAGTACTGGTAATCTGAATAAATCTTTCAATCCTTGAACCTACTTTTGGACTTTCAAGTCATTTGTTTAGTGTGAGACAGCAAACCGAGCCTGGTCTCTCAGTAACAATATGATACAGAAGACTGTACGGCACAAATGATTTTCTTAAAAAAACAAAGTATGAGAACTTTATGGAAAAAAAGTCACAAAAAATTGTTAACGTTCCAATAAAGTGACTCAGAGGAATCTAATTTTTCTTTCTTGAGTTTTACTTTCCAACCTCATAAAAAGGCGTTTACTTCAGTTTAAGGCCCATTTGTTGATCTCTTTTAAAGTTTTAAACTTTTTCAACACCATTTATTTTTTAAATGACTCTCCAACTAGACCAAACTTGCTCGGGCAGAGCCCACTAAGAATGCCACTAAGCCCGCCAGATTTCCCTTAAAAAGAGTCCTTAATTCCTACCATCATTCACCATCTGTGGCCCACCCTGCTCTTCTCAGGGCTGGGCCTGCGGCTGGGCTCCAGCCTGCCTGCAACTGCTATTCAGAAGACAGTGGGAGGGAAGGAAGCAGACATTCCCTGGGATCCCAGCAAATGCTGTTTATTTTCCAAACAATTTTATTGAAATGTGCCAAGAGTACATGTGCAGCACAAATGTATGAACAGGAAAAAAAAATCACATGTACAATAATTCTTAAAAAGTGAAGGTTAATCTTGGGAGATTTCAGTTACCCTCTCCCTCCCCCTCCAGACTTCCAGCGTTTTCCATTATGGGTAAGCCTCTAGTAACCTAGCATTAAGAAAAAAGGAATACAAGAACTTTTGCGAAAAAAACCCAAACAAACAAAACAATGGCATAAAGGAAAGAGAAACGTTTTCCTGCTCAGATGGGACTCTTCCTAGGCACCTAATTAGGAAGCATGCTGAGTGGTGGAGAAACACAACTTCAGAGTATACGGGTATGGCCCATCTGCAAAGGAGAGGAGGAGAGAGAGGTTTGGCTGGGCCCGTCTGGAAGATCCCCCAACCCAGATCCCCTCATTTTGCACACATCTCCCATTTTCTGCAATTCAATTGTAGGGATCTAACTCATCATTGCCCAAAGTGAGACTTTAAAATGAGCCAAACACAAGGCATTTCTTCTCTTCCTTATCTCCATGGAGAATTCCATTCCCATTTCCTTAGCTGGCCCAGGGCAATAGGCCTGCCCCACCAACTGGGTGGGTAAATTTTACCCACTGGAAAGTGTAGCCCCTTTTCCTGGATACTCCCTGAGCCAGTCTCTAACTCAAAAGAAAATGCTACCTGCTCCCCGGAGAGCAAGCTTGAGCACTTCCCAAGCTGGCAGAGTGGGTGGCAGCAAGCAGCCAGGCTGTCCCTCCCATGAGAAACTTCAGGCGGCTCTCCTGGCGACCAGATCCCGCCTGCCTCTGTCAGTGACTGTGAGGAAATCTCTGGGGTCCTATCTCGAGGGCAGGAAGGATGGCTCTGGCCTGAAGCCAGCAAACCCATTAGGCCACCAGGGGGATGACTGCAGGACACACAGATACTCACTTGGGTTTTTCATCTGGTAATGGTTCAGGAAGCCCAGTGTCTCCAGGGCATCACTCTTGGATTCCCACTCCAGCAGCCCAGAGGAGCTGCGTTCACCTGATTGGAAGGCAAGGGGAAACCAAAGGTTTTAGGCTGACCCAAGCAGGAACTGGGTAGCTGCCAACTGAATGAAGAGAGGAATATAGGGACAGTTTACTTACTTTTGCCTGAGAATACTTTGACAGAAGATGGCCGCTTCACTCCCAGCTCATCGCAGATCTGCGATAGAAATAGATAATAAACGAAAATTCAGAAACAGAAAGGGTGCCACACGGAAGTCAAGCAAGCCAGACTGGAAAAAGGGTTTCTACCTTTTATCACATACTCCGTGACACAAAAATGATCAGAAACACCACTCTTGATCATTAATCATTATGTCAGAGGCTGGCCAGTTAAGCTCAGTTGGTTAGAGTGTAGCCTTATAGGGTCGGCCCGTGGCTCACTCGGGAGAGTGTGGTGCTGATAACACCAAGGCCACGGGTTTGGATGCCATACAGGGATGGCCGGTTCACTCACTGGGTGAGCGTGGTGCTGACAACACCAAGTCAAGGGTTAAGATCCCCTTACCGGTCATCTATAAGTGTTTTAATATTTTCAAAATTAAAAAAAAAAAGAGTGTAGCCTTATAACTGCAAGGTCATGGGTTCGCATCCTTGTACTGGCCAGCCCCCAAAAAAAAAAAAAAAAAAAAAAAAAATCAAATCATTGTTGCTAAGGACCAGGAAACTGCTTATTAAATTTCCCATTTTCGGCAGCAATTTGGATGTGTATCAGCACTAGACTAATGTTTGATGAACTGAAGGGTGACATTTCAAGAGACCAGAGTGAGGTCTGAAGTCCAACCCTGACATTCAGAGTTCCTCCTCCCCCCTCCAGCTGCCCTAGTTCCCTGACCATGCTTCACAGGGTCCCACCTTCTGATGGTATCTAGACACCTTGAAGACCCAACAACTGGGGTCATGTTTTGAGATTGGACTCTCATCACTGGGCCTGTGAAGAATCTTTCCCAGCAAATGAGCAGCCGTTCCAGCTAGCCAAAAATGCCAAGTAGCAGCATGGTCCACTGTTTCTATAAGTCTGGTGTCATTTGCACCCTGTCTGGACCGTGAGCAGAGATCACCCAAGCCAGGGCCTGTCAGAGCAGTTCATAAGGTATTTGGTGAAACACTAGAATGAGTGGCCTACTCAGGTGGCTGTGTTGAGGGGCCAACTGCCTGAGAAACTCCATGGCACCCACCTCAAAGAAGTTCTCCTCAGTCACCTCCAGTGGGGCATTGAAGAAGTGCAGCACGTTGCTGGGGTGCTGGATGCGGTTCTTGGCTGCCTGCTCCGGGGTGGAGAATCGATTGTTCCTTGATTCGCTGAAGTCTTTGTAACTGGAGGACCCATCTTCCAACCCGTATGACTGACCTGGCATGATGGCTGGTTGCTTGGAGACACTGTAGGAGAGAAGAAAGGGGGGCCCTTTGTCAGACCCAAAGTTATCCCATGACCTTTCCACTATGGCCTCGTTGAGGCTCGGCTGGCCCCGTGCCTATATGATAGTGCTGCATGCCTCAGGGGGTGTTGTGCCACAGCTGAGGTGAGACTGACCCACTTTCTCCCAGGGCTTCAGAGAACATCTGAGAATACACCTGCCACACCCCATTCCTGCCTGAGTAAGCAACTGGGCCTCACTGTGCTCCTCTGCTGGGCCCCACCTCCCCTCCCCACTTCCCCTTCCCTTCTCTCCTCAGTCCCTTTCCAACCCTTCTTTGCCTGGGAAGACTGAGCACCTACCAGACATTCAGCTTCTGCCCAAACATGAAGTTGTTGTTGAGGTGGGTAATGGCCCGGTCCACAGCATAGCCATCAGCCATCTCCACCATGGCGGCCCCTGGCTTGCTTTTCATGAATTTCACCTTGGGGAGAGCGGCCACAGTCAGCACCATGCCCAGCTGTCAGGGACCCTTCTCCTGCCCCCTTCCATGCTAATTAGAAGCAAGCAACTCCTGCTCCGGCTCTGGGATCCCATTTCCTCACATGTGAATGAAGAATTAAGACCACCAGAAAAGCACGCTGGGCCCACAGCAAGTAAACCCAAGTGGGCAGCAGAGACTAGGCAGTTGTTCTTCCAACTGTAGGACATGACCCATGAGTGAGTCACTTAATAAAACCCAACAAAAAAGCGTGCAGAAAAACAGAACACAGACACATATATCTGTGGATGGGTTATCTATGGCCATGATGTAAAATAGTTGTTTAAGTAGATCACCGTTAAAAAAAAAAAAAAAAAAAAAAAAAAACTCTAAGAGTAGTGTAGGCTCTGAGGCCAGGCTATCTCGCTCTGAGCCCTGCTTCCAAATAAAGGTTTTGTGAACCTGGGCAAGTTATTTAACCCATCTGTCTCATTAAGGATTACTGTGAAAATTAAACAAGTTACTACATGTAAAGCACCTTTATGGCATGTGGTATATAAGAACACGCCATATGTACTAGCTGTTATTAACATAAATGGACCAAGCCAGGGGCTGCACACTCAAAAGGCTTCCAAGACAGGTTTCATGAGGGCAGAAAACCACCTGTTTTCAGGTGGATGGTCAGCCACCAGTCAGTTCCAGCCAAGTGACCCACAGGGAATGCAGGAAGACTCAGTGCTCTGACAATCTCAAGTTTTCCAGATGAAATCCTTACACAACGGTCTTTAACATTATATAATGGGTAAATTTCTATGTATTCTGTAATCTCTACATTCATGTACTAGGAAACATTAGTACTTTTATGTGATAAAGTCCTGGTTTTTTTAACATTGTTAATTCAAAGAAAATAAAACAAAATACCCATACACAGTGAAGACTAAACAAAACCTGGCTGTAGCAGGTTGCCTGAGTTAGCCAAGTTACCCACTTTGGGCCAGTTTGCTCTAAGCCAGGCTTCCAGTGGCTTGTTCCCCTGTGCTGACTGGCAAGCTATGAGGCTCAGGGCTTTCCTTGGGCCCACCAAGTTGACAAGGAAAGCAGTGGACCCAGCAGCAGCTCACCTTCTCCACATTGCCATACAAGCAGAAGACATTGAAGACTCGATCACAGTTCATCTTAGATTGATCCAAGCCATAGACCATGAGCACAGGGCTGTCGGCGTGGGGGCCATACTCGGGTGGTGGGGGAGGGGGTGGGGGGTGCCCATACTGGGGGCCGTAGCGGCTTGGGCCCCGACGGTGACCCCCCACTGGTGGGCCCATCCTTCTCCCTTCGTAGTGAGGTGGGGGGGGGCCGTAGCCCTCATCATGGTAATGGCTGTGGTACCCACCGTGGGGCCCTCCTGGGGGGTGGGAAGGAAAGAGAGGGAGGACGGGTGAGAATTTGCGCGGCGGACGGCGGGCAGGGGCACATGAGCCACGGGAGTCCACGGAAGGGAACCCCCTGCCCTCACCATATTCAGCGGGATGATCTCCCAGGAGAGGGGGCTGCCTCTGGCGTTTGTTGGGGTTACTGCCAGGGTCACCTATGGACAGAGAAAGCAGTTAGAATCTAATGCGAAAAGCGGGGTGTTTCTCTCCCTCCTGACTACAGAAGCTAATCTCAAAGTCCTTCGACTCGTGGGAGCCTCACTACAAATCCTGCCCTTTCTTACAAGAGCTGCTGGGAACTCCTCCCTATGGCCCAACCCAGGGCAGGAATGAAGCCCAGGCCTCTAAACCAGAGCCCACTCTCCCTCCCCTACCCATCCATACCAAGGGAACTGGTTTCCTTTTTCAGAGGACAAGGCCAGGTTCTGTGCTCTCTTTCATCTACCCTGGCCCTGGTGGGAAGCCGAGCTCTCAGGCCTTCTGGAGAGTCTGTAGCTGCTATGGAAGCTGATATATTATAGGGGCCAAAAGCAATTTTCTAAAATAACTCCCAATAAAGGGAGAGAAGGTTAAGAGCAGGAAAATAACCCAGGAAAAGCAGGAAGGTAAGACTTGGCTCCCAAAGCCTCAAGTCCTAAGAGCTCTAAGCCCCTCTCTCTAACCCCCTTTTCTGTCATTGCTGATCCCAGCCACCCTCCCACCCGGTCACATCCAGCCCGAGGAGGGCCTGTAGCAGCTGAGAAGCAGGGCAACAGCAAAATCAGTTCAAACAAGCAATCATGTACAAGGTATCAACAGTTTCAGACCCAACAATGGCGCAGACCTGCCTCCCAACCCCAGCTGCAGTTCATAATCATTTAGCGCTTAAATGGCAAGACGCTGGACTAAGCGCTTTACAGACATCACAGCTTCTTTAATTCCTCACTTCTTCAATTCCTCATAACAACTCTATGAGTAAGTACTCATATTTCAGTCCCATTTTACAGGTAAGAAAACTGAGTAGTTAACTTTTAACTGAGCAGTTAAAAAACACTTTAGCCTAAGGTCACAAAGCAAGTTAGTGGCTGAGCCAGGATTTGAACCCTGGTCTGGCTGACTCCAATACCAATACCCAGGATTGAAACCACTGCCCATTCCTGCCACCCGGCCTGGGTTTTGTTTTCAACAATCAGTCATTACAAAGATGGAAAAGGGCTACTTACAGCAGAAGTACAGAGTACAATGTCCATTTGTCACAAAAAATAAATCTGTATTTTCTCTTACCATTGGACGCTTCAACAGTGAGTTAGCACAGTTCTGAAAGATGGCGTCCCATCAAACATACACTGCGACCCTGCATCACATGGTTTTACAGTCATAAATACAAGTTACAGTACACATCCGCTACAATTTTTTTTTAAAGAATTGTTTTTAAAGTCAATGTTTTGATTAAATCAAAAAAAGGCTCACAGATGTTCTGTCCTCAGAAGATATCAGAAAAGTGGAAATAAAGGTGTATGAAGTGGATAGTGTCCCTCCGTGTTGTCACCTCCTCACATTATGTGCTGCAGTGCGGTGGTGCGGTGCTTCTGGCTGTGTAGCGCTCCATGTGCGTGTCTCCTGGGTATGAAGTGTGCCAGTGGCCCCACTATGCCCGCGCTTTTGGCCTCGGGAGCACGCCTGGTTACCCACCAGCAGGTAACTGTGTGCCTCTGAGTTGTTTGGCTGTCTGGTTTTAGGTTTGTTTTGGTTTTTTGATTTTTTGTTGTTGTTGTTGTTGTGGTTTAAGCTTTTATTTTTTTCTGATCTCCAGTTGGTGCAGATTATGTTGGCAGCCGGTGACTGCGGAAAAAATAAAAATATCAAAACAGAAAAGAAAAAAAGGCCCTCCCCAAAACAAAGGACTTAAAAAACAAAACCCATATGGCGAGGAATGGAGAGGATCCTATTGTCTTGGAGGCCCATGGAATCTACTTCAGTCTATGAAACGTTCTCCGAAAAGAGCACCGCTCGCTGGCTGGCTGGGAGAGCTCTGTTCTCTGTGTTTCCTACTTCTGTGTACATTCTCGGGTTCAAGTTTGCTTGGATTTTGGCTTTTTTAATGTTTAATAAAAAAGCAGTGTCTGCTGCCATGTTGCATCTCTTTCTCTCTTTGTCTCTGTCTCTGTGCTTGTAGCTGTTCCTTGGAGCGCGGTGTGGTGTTCTTGATGTAGTGAGCTCAAGTCTGCAGCTGTTTCTGGGGACGTGGTGGAGGCTGCATGTTCTGTTCTCTCCAGGAAGAGCTAGTGGTTTTCTACCCTGTGTGTTGGTGAGCAATGTGCAGAGGCAGAGCCGCTGAAGTATGGTTCCTGAGGGGGTAGCGAAGCACCGCCCTCACTCCAGGTTACCTCATCAGCCCTCGGTTTTTTTGGGCCCCCGTCTCGGGGCGGCCAAAGCTGAGAGGCATCAAAACCAATGCACAGCCAGCCCCTGCCACTAGCCCCTGCCGTTCTGCACATCTTCTATTTATGTTCCTTGGAGAAGAAATGGTTGGTTGCCGTGTTTCTGTTAGCAGTCATGTAATGCCATTGCCCGCTCTGGTACATTCACTTGGTCATCAATTTGCCTCTGACCTTTGGAGGGAGCAGCCAGGCCCACAGGGCTCACTGTGAGGGTCCTGGGGAGAGTCTAGCCCATGCCACCCACTGCTTCCCAGCTGCAAGGGTGAGCAAGACAGGCCTTCCTAGGAAAGGGGCCTCTGGCTTCCCAGAGCCTGTGTAATGCAGCAATCAGCCTCCTCCCCTCAGCCCATGGCCTGGTCCGACGTATCAGACCAAGACACACACAGAGATGAACGGTCTTGCTGGGGGGGTGCCGCTGTTTTTCAAATGCAATCCTCCACCTCTCCCTCCTACTAAAGGCAAATCATTCTTGACAGACACTAGGAAGGGGGTTGTTCATTTGGACCTCTGCAGAGATACTGAGTCTCCTCTACAAATGTGAGGTATGCCCGCCCTGGTCCCATCCAGAGAGTCTCACCTCCACAAGATCAGCTTACTCAAAGGCTCTGCTGCAAGAGCCCAGGAGCCTTCATCACCTCTCCAGTCTGTCACCCCCACAATCAGACCCTCTCAACAATGAAGACCAAAAGGACCATTCCTGGCCCAGTGAGAATGGAGAGTCAGTGACCCAGGCCAGGCTCCAGAAGGAAAGCAGCAGAATCCACTTGGGACCTGCTACTTGTCTCTAAGCCCATTGCCATGCCTTGTCCTCAGTGAGGCCCTGCTCCCCACCCCATCCAAGCCTCTGCCTTGACTTTGCACCCTCAGCAGCATCATAGGGCCACAAGCAACAAGCTAGGACCTGCAAAGGCCCCTCGCATTCTCCCTCTCCCAATGGGGTGTCTTTTCCAAGAGCTGACCCCAAGGCCCTCCCATGTCCACAGGGAGCCCAATGGCATTACATAACCCTGAGCCCAAGTCTATGAAGTGCGCTAGTTGAGTGAAGGCAAGGCAGGTGTGTTTAGAACAAAGTGGCCATCAGGATTACCTTGTCCACTGAGGTTGGGGTTTGTGTAGTCCCAAGTATCCTGATCATTCTTGAACACATTCAAACGTGTAGGCTGTAAAGACAAGACAAAGCTTGAGATAAGACATGCCCTCCCGCTCACCTGGAGGCTAACAAAGGGCAGTCACTTCCCATACCTACCTTTGCATACTCAATCTTCAGAGTGCAACAGCCAGAATAGATGTCAGCCCCATTGAGTGAGGCTTTGGCCCGCTGGGCACTCTGCACAGAGTCAAATGTGAGTAAAATTAAGGAAAGGATCATCATGGAAGCTTCTCGGGAAGGGCTTCAAGTTGTCCTAGAGAGGGATGACAACACAGCAACCCAAAACTGTGGTGCACTTGTGCCTTGGGGTCAGTTCACTGCCTACAGCCACCACCACCATCACAAGAGGTCAAAACTGTGGAGATGGAACAGAGTGGTGCCCTAGTTGAGTAGTCACTCATTGAACAGAATTCTCTTGTGATCTGTATGTCCACTCCAGCCCACCAGCCCAGAAGCAGAAGCAATCTCCTCTGCCACCACCCCAAGTTAAGTCACCTTCCTTGTCCCAGTCCTCTCCCATGTTGCACTTTTACTAAACCTGAACAATCTCGCGGAAACATCAATGGTTACATCCCTGCCTTAAAGTCTATCAGTGGTTTCCCACTGCACCCTGCCCAAGCATCACACTGTTGGCTAGAATGCCCTAATAACTTCTCCCAATGTCTATAACAAACCCATCTCCCTCATGCCAGCCACTAATGCAGTCCTCAGGTCCTCCACTTTCTCCAACAATAAGCTCCTTCCCACCTTATGACCTTTACAGAGGCCATTTCCTCCCCCTACCTTGAATACCAGCTTCTGTGTCCTCATGGAAATATAACAGCACCTCCTCAGAGACCTTCCCAAATCCCCCTTTGAGTTCCTTTCCCGTTATCTCATAGCATTCTGTTCTTTCCCCTCACTTCAGATTCACACAATCACACTACATATATGTCTGGTTCCTTGTTTAACCCATCAGACTGTGGGCTCTGTGAAGGCATCTGGCACTTGGCAGGCATTTAGTAGATACATACTAGTTCAAAGGACAGTTCCCTGCCAAGCCCTGTGAGAACCCCCACCCCAGGGAACATTTGTTCCCCAGTAAAGGATATTCCACCATGGCTTGGACTCCATTCTTCCGGAAAATGACAATTCTCTGGACAGGGCCACAAGGATTACAGATAGTGTAAAGAACATCCTGCAAAAGCAAACACATGCCAAGTGAAGGGCATGGATAGGTCAGTTTGGCCTGGGAGAGGGGATTTGGAGAAAGGGAAAAAGGGAGGAAACTTCACAGAAGAGCCTAAAGAAATGACCACTGGTGCATACCGTGGTAATGGAATAGATGGGGTTCAGAATGGTAAAGAGAAGCACACTGTTTACACTCCGGGAGTCATCTGAGTCTCCAGGGCGGGAGATCTTCTGGCTGGTAGAGTAATTGACAAAAGCTGGATGACCGGCAATGTAGATTTGGTTGTCAGCTGCGTAGTTCACTGCGTTGCAAGCCCCCAACACATCTTCAAACTCAACCAGCGCTTGTCTCTTTTTAGGCATTACCACCACATAGCTAGCAAAAAGAACACACGTTTCAATCCTTTTAGAAGAATGGAGACGAGAAGGGAATGTCCTTCAATTTTCTGTGAACTGACTCCTCCATAGCCTCTGGACTCCTCTGAAACCCTGTCGCAATTTCCTGACCTGAACACCTTATGGTACCACAGACTAAAGACGTATAGCTAAGTCATCACCTCCTCTGGGAAGCCTTCTGGACCCCTCCCTTCGCACGAGCAAGACACTTCTCACAGACCCCTGGACTTTACCCTATCACAATGCTAATCACTCTGAGTGGGCAATTTTCTGGGAGGGGGAATCCAGGACAGTCTTGTTCACTACTGTATTCTCAGTACCTAGCACAAGCCAAATACTTGAAATTTATTGAAAGAATGCTGCCCAGAAACGATAAGGCAGAGAAGGGGACTAGCCAAAAGACCCTGGACCAAAATGGTGAAATCACTACTTCCAATCAGAAATCAGTGACATGTAAGGACACCAAGGAGCCAGCTTCTCTGAGAAACCTATACCCTGGCCTCTGAGTACCTGATGGGTCCAAACTCCTGCAAGGCCTCCACAAGGTCAGCTTCTACCACACCGTCAATCAGGCCCCTGATGTGGACAACTGGGGAGGCAGGGGTTTTGTGTGGGTCATCGTAGTTCTCCTAAGAAAAGAAGCAGAAACAAGACTTCATTTCCATCTGTACGAGATGGCAACCCACTGGCCTCCGTGCTGTTGGAAACCCAGACAGATAAGACAGTTGGTGTCGACCAAGAAGGATGCATAGGCCAGAATAGAGGTAACAGTTCAACCCAATCACCCCAAAAGGAATCTGGACCAGCAGAAGAGCAGTCCTGAGTGGATGGCCACTTGCCTATTGGCTCTTGCTGTAGCTTCTGAGGATGGGAAAATGGAGAGGGGACAAGTCTCAAATCTTACATTCCTCCAGGAACCTATCTCTTTTCCTGCTTGTCCACTCAATCAATGAAATATGGGGAAAGAGCGACTTAAAGGGGACACACTAGCAGGAAAGGTTCAAACAGGTGTCTGCTGCAGTCTGAACAAGGATATCCCTTTTGCACATGCCCCAGCATCTTTGCCCTTTCTCTGCTTGAGCAAGTCATCACCACCTAGCCAAACATGACAACCCTCCACCACTCACTCAGCCCCAGTCAGGGGAAAACAGCCTATGCCCCAAAAGCTGACCTCTTCTAGCCTTGAATCACTCTCTCATTAAAATCTGCTTTGGAAAGTATTGCCTAGGCTAGACTAAGGAAAACAGAGCAAGGAGGGTCTTTCAGAAAGAAGAGAAACTTCACCTATACTGTTAAAAACCAAGACAACTCCTTCTCAGGGAAGGTTATCTTTCCACCCACACAGAAAGAAGCTTCTGGGAATCAGGAGGAAAGTAACTTTCTCCTCTACCTCTCCTGGGCTCTGAGTCCAGCCTCCAGCCTGAAAATCATGCGCAGAAGCCGATTTCATTTCAGGAATGAACCACACACAAACCACAGGATGCACACTCCCCTGGTGGTTACCAGGTCCAGAGATGGAGTTCCACAGTCCTGAGCTCTAATCCCAGCCCTGCCCCTTACTAGGTATGTGACCTAATTTATCTCATCTCTCTTTGCCGTTTTCTCCTCTGTAAATCCGGAATCCTAATACCTCCCCTAACCTCACAAAGAGATATGTTAAGGATTCAATTAAGATGTCTTTAAAAATGTATGGAACAATGCCTGGCAAAGATTAAAATGCTAGTAAATCACTGCCACTAAAACGCCGGAAGGGGCTGAACAGGATTTCAAAAACTTGGAAGGGACTGGGCCCACACCCAGAAGTAACAACTGGTGGTCTTTGCGGAGCTGAATCCCTTCCAACATGGCCACATGACCAAGAAATATTTTGGTTTACCAAATTCTCCGTACCCAGTCAACCTCCGAAATGGTAAGCAAACCTGTGATGGCTCCAAAACTTGGCTCAACTCCCAAACGAGCCTTTCGCAAGTCTGTCTCACCGTTTTCAATGCCCACTAAAATGGGGGACCTATTCTGTTCTGAAATATTTTCTCAAAAAAACCCAATTTCTGTACAGAGAGTATAGAGATTAAACTGCGATCAGACGTTATTCCCTACTTCGGCGAGGACAAGGCCACCGCCCGCCCCCCAACCGCCCACGAGGCCTAGCGGGAGAACTGCGCCTGCGCGAGGGACCAGAGGGGGGGGGGAACGATAAAGGCAAAAAAACCCGGCCCAGCCGCGTGCCCGGCCCCCACATGCCCGCTCACGGCGCCTGCGCAGTATGCCCTGCGCAGCCAACCGCCCGCAGCGCAAGCTATTTCCTCCGCCCCCCCAACCCGGCTCTGGATAGCGCGCACGCGCAAACGCCTGTCCTTGCGCAA